GCGAACCATTTCAACTCCCCCTCCCATTCCTGAGACGATATGTCCATCCTGGGCCTCCTGCTGTGCCACAACGATGCCACCCGAAGGTTGCAGGAACAGCATCTCATATTTTGCTTGGGAACCCTGCAGCCCAATGGTGTCAATGTGGACTTCACAAGCTTCAAAATCTCCCCTCCCCCTACCGCATCCCAAAACCAGCCCAGCTCGTCCCCGCCTCCCTAACCTGTCCGTCCTTTCTCCCACCTATCCACCTCAACCCCCACCCCCATCTCCTACCTACGAGCCTTATCCTGCCTCCTTGACCTGTCTGTCCTCCCTGGACTGACCTATCTCCTACCTAACTTCCCACCTACACTCACCTTTACTGGCTCCATCCCCGCCTCCTTGACCTGTCCATCTCCTCTCCACCTATCTGCTCCTTTATCCATCTTCCATCCGCCTCCCCCTCTCTCCCTGTTTATTTCAGAATCCCCTTCCCCTCCCCCATTTCTGAAGAAGGGTCCAGACCCGAAACATCAGCTTTCCTGCTCCTCTGATGCTGCCTGGCCTGCTGTGTTCATCCAGCTCTACACTTTGTTATCTCTTCAAGTGTAGCGGCCACCATGGGGGGTGGGGAGGGCCCTATCTGCCGGGTGTCGGATTTTGCCAAGTGGAACCCGGAGCCCCCCCACCAAAACCTCACGATTTCGGAGGCAACAGCCGAGCGCCAGCTCCCGACTCAGCGACACAAGGGACGGATTGCCCTACGAAGCGACTGTGATGGTCTCTGTCCTTGCCCCTTACCTCGGCTGTCTGAAGGTACTGAAGCATGAAGTACCAGAGCTGGGAGGACGTATCGAGCAGGAGGAACTGGAAGCCGGCTGAGGTGATGCAGGGAGCCTCAGATGCTTCGCTGTGAAAGAGAGGGGGAAAAGTGGGGGCAAATGTGAGCTAACACAAACCTGCAGGCAGTTGGGTGGGGTGGGGGAGTGGGGGGAGGTGCTAACTTAGTACGTGTTGAAACAAGGCACGTAAGCAGGGCCAATTACTTAAAATTAGCGAACACATCCATCAAATTCAGCAGCTTAAATAACTCACAGTAATTTCAGTCCAGACAAATCTTTTGATTTTAAATCGGGAGCAATTGAGATGCAGCGCACAGGGAGCTTTGTTGTGTATTGAATCTGTCACATGCCTGCCTTGGTAGTGTTTGACAGGATGGTGTAGAGAGAGCTTCCCTCTCTATCTAACACTGTGCTGTCCCTGTCCTGGGAGTGTTTAATGGGACGATATAGAGACAGCTTTACTCTATCTAACACTGTTCTCTCCCAGTTCTGGGAGTGACTAACAGGCTGGTGTAGATAAAGCTTTATTCTGTATCTAACACCATGCTGTACCTGTCCTGGGTTTGTTTGATGGGAGCAGTGTAGAGGGAGCTTTATTTCACATTTAAGACAGTAGAGCATGCTTTACTGTGCATCTAACATAGTGCTGGATCTCCGAGAAATATTTGATGGGAACAGTGTGGAGGGAGGTCTACTTTCTGTTTAAAAAAGTAAACTCAAATTTCAGTTTAAAAGGGTAGAGAAGCTTTGCGGTGTATCTAACCCCATGGCTATACCTGTCCTGGGGGTGTTTACTGGAGACAGTGTAGAGGGAGCTTTACTGCCCAGTTTACATTCAGTTTAAAAGATTAGAGGGAACTCTTTATCTAACCCAGTGCTGTCCGTGTGTTTGATGGGGTCAGTGTAGAGGGAGCTTTACTCTGGATCCAGCCCTGTGCTACCCCTGTCCTGGGAGTGTTTGATGGGGACAGTGTAGAGGGAGCTATACTCTGGATCTAGCCCTGTCCTGGGAGTGTTTGAT